GCAGCTGTGCCTGCTCCAGGGGTGGTGGCTCCCGGCGGGCCAGACCATTCGCCCTGCGCGCCCGGGGGTGCGCGACGTGCGGGGCGGCGCGGGCGGCGGTTGGGAGGAACCAAGCGCGAGGGGGACCCTCGGCCCCGGGCGCGTGGAGGCCTGCGGGCGAGGGCTATCGCTGGAAAGTCTGCGTCTCCTCGCTGGGACCTAGTGGCAGTACTGGGGCTCTTCCCGGATCCCCCCTCCCCGGAGCGTTGGTCCCGCTCGGGCTCCTTTAGAACGCGGCAAACAGAGGACCTAGCAACCAGCGCCGGGCGGGTCCAGCTCTGGAGATGCGCAGGGCGCGGCCCCGCGGTGGCGCCTGCTCCGCCCCGCGGTCTTCCCTGTGTCTCGTCACTGACAGCTTGGCCCCAAAAATAGGGCGTCCGGAATCTTTGCAGGAGTTCTTTGGATCTCTGATCTAAGCATCTTTAGTAGCAGGGGATGAAAGAGTATCCCAGGCCACCTTGAAAGTTCGAAAATGAAATCAGGTGGGGCCGCACCCTGTGCGTGCGGTCAAGCGAGGGGCAGGTGCGCGAGAAGGCTGCATCGCAGCTGCTGCCGAGCGAAGGCGGACCGCAGCGGTTGGGAAAACGTAGATTTAGGGAGCCGTTTCAACGTACAGCGCTATAAAAGATCGTAAAAGAAATTCAAGAACATTTGAGGTTCGTTTTTGTTCATAATCTTAGAGGTGTCTGTCCTGGGAACTGGGAGGAAATCATGTCCTTAAATGATTTAGGGAAAATTCTCACACATGATGTTCCTCAGACTTTGGTGTCCTTGCCCCTGTTAAAACAATTTAAAAATAGGTTCGTTTCAAGCCATAGTGAAGACAAATGTACAATTTTACCTACTGAAGTTCGAACAGAGTTGGCAGTTACATATCAGATGTGATTAAAGGGAAAAAGAGGCCTTCAAATAGATCTCAAGATGAAATTTCACAAGATCATTTTTTTTCTGGACGAAAGTTATTTTCATCTTTTGAGTAAACCAAAATAAATTGCATACCTACTATGAACTAAACAATATACTGGCCGTGTTTTGATAATTTCTTCCTTCCATGTGTTTTAAAAAATGTCTGTAAGACAGGTAACACTGTTCCTAATTTTTAAATGGAAAACCTGCCCTCAGACTTTGTTGTGCTGGGTCCAAGTGTCCTGATTAAGAGTGGCAGAGCAGATATTGCTGCTTGGACTTCTTGTCAGGTGCCTGTGTGGGAGATGCCGCTGGGAAAGATGTATGCTAAGCTTGGCACCTCTCTGATTGGCCTGAATGTGACTGGAGATGTAAACTTTCCTTTGAGAAACTGGGCTTCAGAGTGGAGGGAAGACTCTTAGGTATCTACAGCACCCTGAGGTAGAAATAGAGACTAAAGAGAAGAAACAGCTTCATGCAGAATTAGTCCGGTGCATCATTAACAGAAATGGACCACTGTTAGGGTCGTGTGAAAATAAGATGAAATTTTCCATTGCCTACCTGATCATTCTTACACTATCATTTATTTACACCATATTGCATGTTGTACTACACTTATACTATAACTATGGTACATTTTATCATTCTTCCAATCCCAGGAAATAGCCAGGGTTTTAAAATGAAACTACTCTTATCATTCTTCAAATGCTTCACCAGAATTTAAGGAAAAAAGTAAACGGATAGCAGGGCATTCACAACTCTCACATCACCAGTAGAAAGCTTTCTCAGAATGGGGAATAAAAGTAAATTGTCTCTGTATGGTGTGCCATTGTCATTACCTGTAATTGTTAATGTTCACACCTCCGTACCAGCACCACAGAAATCCCCAGAGCTCCTTGTTGCTGAGCAGCCAGAGTGCTGGGTCCCCCAGAGAAGCCAGGCAGCTTCAACTCAGAGCAAAAGGGGTCATAGCTTCAGAAATGCATGATTCTTGAAGACCAGGGTGGACCTGATCCGTTGGTGTCATCTCCGGCCATCTATTTCCACTGCATAATTGACATTCTTAGTGCATAATGCACTTCATTTCTGAATGAAGGTAGAAGAGAATTTTTGTGATGGCAGCCTTGGGAAGCTGCCAAAAGGAATGGAGGGAATGGCTTGGTTCCTGTGTTCTCTGCTTTCACTCACAGTCTTCAGTTTCGAGCTCCCTGGGGAAACACAGTAGGACCACAATGATTTTCACAAAGGACTGTGAGATTTCACATCTATGAACTACTACTGTGAACTAGTGAGAAATCCTGTAGACACCAAGCTGGAGAGACAGTTGTTTTGTCTGCCTAGACCTCTGTGCAGTTTTGCCACCAAAAAAGGACTGCTGTGCCCAGCGAGGACATGGGCTTATGAAGGACACAGGTGGCCAAAATAAGATCAAGGTAACTTGACTGGACTCCCTAGAGAAAAGGAATAAAATTGTCAGTGAGCACCTGGGAACCAGCTGAAGACTTCCTGTGGTGAATGAAAGGGTCTGAACTGGGGAGAATAATTTTTTACTTCAGGCGATTGTTAGACCTTATTTAGGTACTGATTCAAAGATATTACTTTAAAATGAAAACAGCGAGTAGAATCAGAATACTTCATGCCTTTGATAAAACTTCATTGAGAGCCACACAGTGCTGAATCTTGATTCAAGAATATTAAATATCTATTATATATTAGCCCCAAACTGGAAGCTTGAGAGACATTAACATCATCATCACAAATAATATTGCTAAGGAGATAATAATGTGGTTCCTCTTTGTTTGTTTTCAAATAGCACATGCTAAATCCCTAGTATACTCAAGGTAAGCACTAGTATCACAAGGAAGGAAGTACTGTTGTCATGCCTGTTTTATGAGTGGAGAAAACAAGAGTTAAAGTAGAACCTAGTTGCAACCCGAAACCAATATGTCACATTAGTCTCAACAAACTTTCACTATTTACTGCTACATTAAAAAGTGTGTATTTCCTTTCTCTAAAATAGAAAACAATTTCATGTTTATTTTTTAATGTCTATTCCAACTCATGTTTAAAAGAAAATGTGTCATTTTTCACAAACAATATTAAAATGAAGTTCTCTCAATGGAAACATTGGGTATCCTTTTCTAGGTGTCTGTGCTCCGAAAGGAAACCCTGAAATAAGAAGTGTTACTGTAGCATTGGCCAATCATTCCTAAAGTTCTTGCTGTTGATACTGATTGCAGGAACTCTTAGTGGTGCAAATCTGGAATTTATATTCTTACTATATTCTTATGAAGTTCCACCAGTGATTCTAATGTACAACCAAGTTTGACCAGACCTTACCAGAACAATGTGGGACTCAAAAGACAAAACAAAACACCTGTCTCTTAGGCTTCATTCATTCCTTAATTCCACTACTTATCGATCAGGAAATGAGAGATGGGTATTTAAAGCCTACTATATATAATTTGACATTTATTAAATATTTAAGTACTTACTGAAGTGTTTAGAGCCATTTTCAGTGTTATTTTGATGCTCCTCAACAAGTCTTTTTTAAAAAAAAAAACAAGTTAAAGATTATACTTAAAATTATTAAGTAATACAACAGTAAAAATTACTGTTGTATGCAGATACTTAAACTAAAAAAATACCATATGGTATTTTATGTCAGAGAAATAAGATTTTTAGATTTATGTATTAGTTCTTGGAGAATTGATATGTTTATAATGTTGTCATTCTAATTAAGAAGGTGATAGGGTTTGTTGCCTATAGTTTGTTTTACATCTCCCTATAATATTTTTTATACTTTTGTTCATATGCTGGGCCCTGTGCCTTTCTTACCAACCTTAGACCAAGTTATTTGATAGTGTTTATCTTCTGAATCAAATATTCTTTCCAGAGCCTTTGCTTAGTGCCTTTGTCTGAATGGGGGTAGCGATTTCTATAGTTCACCTTACATTCATCCAGTGCACCAAGTTCTCTTATTTTTCATGATGGACTCTTGGGTTTTCAAAGAAAACAGGCATATGACCTGCATAAGGAACTTTAGCTCTTTTTTCATCAGCTATACCAGTTATGTTATTTATCGCCGCTAACTTGCCTAATAACTAATATTAAGCAAAAGATTTCATTTTGACCATTTAGACAGTGATGGCTAGTGAGCTTTTCTTTAGGCAATTTGTTTCTGTCTCTGTTTAGCTTAGAGTTTCCTTTGGCATTGGTCTCTTGACCTTTATCTTACTCCTTTTCACAGCATATTGATAATGGTCAGAGTCTTTTCTTTTAATTTTTAATGCAGTCAATATGTAGCTAGACTTCCTGGTATTGAGCTGTGCTTTTATTACTTTAAGAGACCCTGATTTCTTGTAGTGTATTACTCTTTAGGGTTATTTATCTCTTTTAGTTTCTAATATGCTATATAAATATTTGGCATCTATATCGATGATGAAATTGATGTGTACTTTTAATGGTTTTCCCATTGTTTCCTAGAATTTGGTATCCACATTACTCAGGGTTCACAAAATTAGTTAAAGAGCTTCCAATTTTTTCTAATGCCTGCAATAGTTTAAATAATATTGGAATTATCTATTTTTAATAGCTACTTTAAAAATTTAGCTGTGAGTTCATCTGCCTGCAGTCTTTTTCAATAACAGATCATTAATCACTTCTCCATGTTCTTCTATAATAACTGTTCAGTTCATCTTTTTTGCTCTTTCTGTGTCAGATGTAATGACACATTTTCCTAGGAAAGTGCTAATTTCTTCTAGACTTTATTTTCTTAATATATTGGTATCAAATCACTATTAGTACGCAGTGATATCTCTTTTAATCAATTTCCTATTTTCATATAATTAATCTTTTGTAATTTTTTTCCTTAATAGCTTCACATAGTATTTTTCAATTTTGCTGA